ATCAAAATTCTTCACTTGTTGCTTGCTAGTTTACATTTTTGGCGAAGTGCTTAGGGGTGTCCTGTAGTACATAAATGGTCTTTGGTTCCACCTCGAGTGCACTGAGCTGACTCACTCCCCGAACCATCGAGAGACGGAGTACCAGGAGGTGTAAAGAATTAGTTGACAAAAGGGAATGGGGACAAATATGTGTTCATATGTGTATGGAACTGTTTGGATGCGTATCTCGAGTCAGTGTGTTGATGACGGTTGTGACCTCATTGTGTGTTTCAGTTACTTCTTACGCGTAATGCTGTCCATAAGTTAACATCGTCGAAAACACTCCGAAATATCAAATCAAGAGAGCTTACTGAGCTACAGTGATTTATCGGCATACTAGATGACCCATAATTAGCCATGAGACAAGCAAAAAGAAAGCTAGAAGTAAATGAATAGGTAGAAGAACGATGTATTCATTACTCGATCGTAGTATGTAGAAAACAAATGACAAAGAACCGGCTTCTATTTCAAAGATCAAATATGTTTCTTCTTCCATCTTGGTCAAATGCTCCGATCTTTGACGCTTTATTCTTATCACCAACACTTCTTACATTATTCAGCTTTTTTTTCTTCGTGTTTCTGTGCTCAGTTCTGGATTGTGGCTTCATTGTCTGCGAGCTCTTTGGTCCTGGAGTGCTATTTTAAGAGAACGAAATAGGTAATTGCAAATCGTATTATTTAAGAAGGGCACAGGATAAAATTAGTGAACGTTTTTTCCTTCTTTTTTTCTTAAATATAACTACTTTATTGGCGCATGTAACCAAATTTATTTACATTTACGGTGTCTACAGAATGACTAACCTCTTTGAAAATCAGTTTGAAAACCGTATTACGCCTAAAACTAATGTAGTTTGATTTGACAATGTTCTTGGGACAAACGAATAACCGTAGTCGCTGTAGGCCACTCTTTTTTTTATGATCCGTTTTCATGTCTACTGTGCAGTTCCCAGCACCTCTCACAATCGATTCGTTCTCCGCATTCATTGTCCACGAAGACCTTCGAACTTTTTACATGTGGCTTCGGTTGCTGTTTGGGGATTTTCATTTTATTTTGAATGTCGTAGAATGATAGTCGAGAGTTCTCCCTGGAGTCCTAAGATAGCTGTGCTGGAGCGTTCTCAATTGGATTGTAAAGTGATTTCTTTTTTACCCCAGACAAGTCCGGTACTTCCCGCACCACTCATATTACCAGTGCTAAAAGTTTAATATGGAAAAAAGTTCTTTTTTCAGATGCATACCAACTTCTAGCTCTACTATAGTCATCGAATGTCCATTATGTCATCAAGTTTTAATATTTCACAGTGATTCATTTAAAAAATCTTTTTGAGCACACGATCGGCGTCGCAGGAATACAGTGATTGCGAGAAGAATCTTCCAAGTTATCAATCGAATTATTTCATACAGATCTTTCTTATAAGGAAGTACGCTGTATTTCGATTTATTACCGTCGACATTTTCAGTCGCTCTTCAAATCCCCTTTTTATAACAGCGCGTGACCTTTTGGTTTTACGTCGACTCTTCTTTTTTCTCCTCTTCCTTTTGATTGTTAGGCGTTTTGTTTGATTTTTGTTTTACTTGTTGTTCTTTCGCACTCTGTTCATTTTTCATGTATCGAGACCAATTCATCATTATTTTTCTTGTTCATGATGATTCCCACGCCTCTATTAACCAAGGACTCCCACTGTGAGAGGAGTCTGATGCAGTGATACTTCATTTTCGAGCGTCATTCACCGCCATCACCTTCGCCTCCCTCCTTTGGCCTCGTTCCCTTCGTGAGGTTAAGTGTGGATGGATACTGACTACTGACTTTGTTTCACCAACTACAATCCATTCATTCAACTTCATCAAGCTAATCGTTTTTCTACCACCAGTCCTAGTCACCCTGATATACATTTCGTTTTCAGTTATTATCAGATTATTGAAAAACGCGATAAATGATAACGTGTTCCGTCATTGTTTATGGTTGATCTGTCTCCACTATTTTTCACTGAAGCTCATTTTTTTTCTAACGACTCTTTGCTTTCTTCTACGAGAAGAAAACTAACTTTATAAAAGTTGTACCTATATTGATAAACAGTAGGAAGGAAAATGTCAGCATTTCCTATTATTTCAAATTTCTGTTGTTGCTGTGGTTTTTCATACGCACGTGACTACCATCATAATCCACCGAATCCTATAGCACTATAGGAAATTCTTTAGGAAATTCAATGTCCCATACGTGGCTGAAAAAGGTATGAAGAAAAAAAAATAGAAAGGAAAGTTGGGAAGATTCAGTGTTGTAGTATCTAGTGAGGAAAATGAGAATTATATCTACTTTTTGATGAAATCGACAAACAATTAATCCAGAAAAGTTGACAGTATAGCACTTTTCAGAGTATTTTTTTAGAGCAATAGGTAATACAGTGCAGAATTAGTTGAGACAATCGTCGTTAAGTCGGATAATAACCCTCGTCGGTGAAATGGATTGTAGGTCAGCCGGTCTTCAGCCTTAATTCATCAACATCTGTTGCATGTAACATTTTCTTTCAAACCACCGCATAATCATCGCAGGAGAAAGAAATCACCGAAAAGAAGCGAACCAAGACGAATACAAGGGGCATAGTACGTCTTTTATCAAGAAGTATTTACCTTCTTCTTATGTGTTGTACATTCTCATCAAGTTATTGTTTTGGTTTTGCTATCAGCATCGGCGAATGTTGGCATTTGATATTTGAAAAGCCCGTTTTCGTGAAAAATTATGCAGGCCATTCTCCATTTAACTGGTATGTTGAAGATATGACAAGATTTTTTCCTTTGGAGCCTCGAAAAACAAAAGTGTCAAGGTGTTACCAGACACCACCACTCATCAACTGGCAGTCGTCGACCATTGTAGATCGGCAACTTTGCGACCGACCTCAGTTCTCCTCCTGGGTGTCGGCCATTCTTCGCATTAATTTCCTCTTAGGTATGCTTCTTAATGAGAATATTTAGATGTCCTCTTAGGATGGATAACGTTACTTAGAAATTAGCTGGACTATACCGTATAGTTTTACGCAGGGAAATAAATCTAAGTCGCAGTGAGGTTGCAGTAAATAACGTAAAAATAGGTAAAACATCTATGATTAATTTTGGTAAGATATGTGATAATATTCTCTACTGATTCTTGTTACTAATAACGCTAACCTGATGCCTCTGTAAGCTCTAAGGACAGGAATAATTATTATTATACACTATCTTCATTTGAAGAACGTTCTTATCACCTCATTAGCTCTGCTGAGTTTATACTCACGACTAGCTTTTCAGAATCTCGCGAAGTAAATGATTCGCTTATTCATTTGAGTTGATAAGAACCACTTCCCATGTACTTCCAATAATATCGATTCCAAGTTTCCGGCAAAATCGACATGGAATTCGCAAACTTCCATATACCAGCATGCCTATCTGTTCATACGAGTGGATATAATTAGTTGTTATAAAAGTGGATGTGACAGCTAGTTCTCCTGGTGAACTAATGAGAATCGTGAAGCACATATCCTCAATCCATCTGCGTCTCAGCAGGCAGAGTCATGGTCGTTTTTGGTTGGCATTTAACTCCTCCTCATTCTCCACATGGGAACGTGTCGTGTAGTCGCCTCGTGACTAATCGACTCCAGATCTTTCATATGAGTTGGATTCGTGGATTTGAGAGGACAGCATCCTTATTTTTGCTGGAGTTTTCGTCGTCCTTTTTGGCTTTCGACTTATATCCAGCACTAGTTTGTAAATTGTGATCGTGAACAATTTGCTCTGTTTTTCGAACATGTAAACGTCATCCTTGAAAACCTGAAATGGCCCAACTACGATAGTACAAGGTTACCAACTGTCGCATAGATTTCTTCGCGTTTTATGGTAATTTCCGTCGGCTAAACATCTTAGCTTTAAACTATGCTTAAGAATCAATATATAAAGGTTCTTTGCAACATGCCTAATCCTTTCTGCAAATTGTTGGCTATTGTACATAGCAAATCGATAATCCTTTCATAATATTGAGACAGTAAAGTGATGGTAGTTTGTGCGTGTTACGCATGCTAAACCAATAGCGTACGACTGCTTAAAGTATCCGTTAGTTACCAAAAATTGAACTCTTTCTATGAAAAAATAACTGCACCAATAACCATTTGAGGAAATGTTTTAGCAAATCTGAGATTTTGAGAAGACTTACTAATAGGAAAAAGTTCTCACTTCTGTTTTTCAAAGTGTTTCGGATAGGCTTGGTTCTATGGCTGTTATTGGAGGCGGTTCTTATCAATTTTTAAGTGGCATAAACGTCAATTTTGTTGACAGTTACGCAAATAATCGACGAGAGCTGATGTCCTTGACATATCCGATGCAATTGTTCAAATTATTTTCGTTGGATGTCCCTAATCGGTTTCGATGCTTTTATGAACACGCATGAAATTGCTGTCACTACAGTTTTTAAGGAAATATGTAAAATTTTTATCTCTCTTCGTCTTTATCTGTCTCTCTCCATGTATTTATCAGTCTGTTTCCCTCTCTCTGTCCATCTTTACCTCTCTCTAGCTTTATACTGCAATTCTAATCTATCTAATACCTTCCTCGATTATCAGGCAAACAGGTTAATGCGTACTTAGTAATCGGGGGAAGTATTGATTATTTTTGCCAAGGTTCAATGAAAGTCTGTTTGAGAACTATCATTTATTTAGTTTTAAAAATACCGCATTTGTGAAAATAGAGAAATCTACTTGCAGAAGATTAGCAACAAAATAAATGAGCTTGTTTGTTGCTCTGTTCTACCAATAAACTCGCGTCATAGTTGACTTTATCATAGATTTATCGGTTCTGATTCTTTTCTGCTACTATACGCCATATCTCAATTTCATTACTACATTTCCTAACTACCTTTTTGAGAGAATTTCCTTAATGTCACGATTATCCCTGTCTATTCATAAAATTTGACTTTTCGAAGTTTTCAGTAGAACAACATGGAAATCCGAGATAGTCTTTGTGATCTAGGAAGAATGGAAATCCCTCGTCCACAATTTCACGGAATGCAGTTTGTTGCAACCAGAGGTAAACAAGGATTTTACAAGGTTAGTGAGAGAATTTTCAATCACAGTATGAATTTCATCATCTAGTAATTATACAGAAAAAGACTGACATACAGTAATATGGTCTTCAGACTATTCGAGAAAATGGTAGTAAGTACGGTTTGCAAGTCAAGCCTCAAGGTCCTCGTCGACCGGTTCTTAGCAACGACCTCTTCGTGAGGTTAGTCATTGTTGAAAACATGGTTAAAAACTACTATAACAACAGCATATGACTTAACTTTGCGTTTCTCATAATCATGTTATGGGCGCTTGAAAAGTAAAGGCTATAGCTGGTCTGCGTTACACATGTGGTCGTTGGTTCCATCCTACGCTCTGGACTAAAAAAACATCCTATCTTTCAGTAGTTGGCAAATTTCGTGAAAGACTTATCTGTGAGGACGGAGACACAACCGTGACACATCAATAAACCTCGAAATTTCATTGTATGAGCCAAATATGTATTTATTCATCACTTCTGTGCTGAATGGAGCTCAATGCATAACACATTCCTGAAGGATTGATTTAGTCCCGGACACTTTTCCCTTTAATAACGCCACAAAACGCTAGGTGTAGCGAGAATAAAATACCGTTTTCCCTTTTCTTCGTTTCCACGAATTAAGTACAGCTATAAAATGTTGCTTAAAAATCTCCGGTCTAGAAACATCGGTAGCAATGACTGAAATAGAACTCCAAGACGCCAGTTCGTAGACGTTTGTATGGTTGTCACTGTACAACGCAAAATTCCACAATGTGACCCAACGATAGAGGTGTTCGCTGCATGAGTTTGTGTCTGGTGCGTTTAATTCTTTGTAAAGTGGAAACAAACACAATGGCGAAACAGCTAGACCAATCTGTGTCCGTATAAAAGAAAACCTAGAGGGAAGTTTAAAGTCAAACGAAACACTCCACTAAGCACGCACGAAAGCGTAGCGGAGAAGATGCTGAAGTAAAAGTCACTGTCCTAGCACAGAAATCTGAAACTTAAACGCATAAAACCTTCTAAGCATTCTGAGTAGATTTCAAGGATCCAAAAATGAACCGCAGGGAGGAATGTCTTACAATCGCGTGTGATCTCACACAATATCTCAGTATGAATTCTGACGTGAGAGCGGATGTCACCCACTCATGTGAACTCTGTGCAGTTGGTTTCCAACTGGACGACAGCGGAAGGCTCATAAAAACGGTGAATGCGTGTAAAAGCTCTTTTGTTTCCAGTGCGTTTAAAATTTTGGCTTCATTGTTCTGTTGGGATTATGGAGGTGTTTGGTTGCCCAGATTGTAGTCAACTTGAGCTTTCCATGCTTTGAAGAAATTCAATTTATCTTAACTGTTTCGATAACCCGTCTCCGAGAGTAGTACTTTTCCCAAAAAAATTCCTAGGTACTCCAATGATTAAGCAAGGGTTACTTTTTCTTGCATTCCCGAGGTAGCCGTGTTAATACTTCCGCGGGTCCACAGCACTGGCTCTTTTAGAAAGAAAAGGGGTTGCCACCACCAGGCCACTGTTTCTTCCAGGTTATCAGTGATGGCTTGTTCTTAGGTGAGTTTGCGGTTTTATGTGGTATAGAAATATTGACCTCCTTCCTAGGTTGGGTGACCCTGGCAGAGAGCTGTACAGAAAACTTCGAAACATTAGAACGCTTTATGGCAGTGAAATAACATGCCACTAAAGGGAAACGAGCGAACGCAACGGCCAAAGGAGATATATTACTGATAAAGTTGACAGTATTCAGATATTGTCTCCTTAATAAATATTACGTATTTGTTCATTTGTTCACTATAGGCCCTCAACAATGGAGGAGAATGTCAAACCAGACAAGTCGTCGCAGTCAGCAGTTCGGCAAGCAGCATCTCGTACAAAGTCTGTTGATACCGAATGCGCTAAGAACACTGAAGTAAGGTGATTCCTTTCGATAAAACTAAGACCAGACCCATATTTTTGTTTGATGTCAATGTTCCATTTAACACAATGTCCAAATGTTATAGTGATCTTCAAATCTGATCTGTCCAAATGTATTTTGATATATTAATCCAACATATCCGAGTTGTAAAATTAACATGAACGACTGAGCTGCGTATTTGAGCAACAGAACGCCAGCTGCTTGAAAGCTGTTAAGAGCATTGAGGATGTAGTGAAGAGGACTAGGACCACGCGACGCCGTGCCTACCTCTTTGACTGCGTAACACTTCCTGTCTTAGAGCACGCGTCGGAAACTACGTTAGCAGGACGAAAGATCATTCCGCGTTATTGAAGGAGCAGTCGCGACGCTGATGATGGAAATTTCCTGAAACATGCAAGTGAGTAAGAGAATGCGAATTTTCGACTTACGTCATTCATCAATGATAAGACGCGCAATTGTGCACGCCTATTTGTCGAGGACCAGGTGGGCCAGACATATGATACCTCTGCGTGACAACTCGTAGAAAATAGTCACTAGCAACTTGATTACTCCGGATATCAAGCGCACAGGAAAAAGACCGTTGATTCGATGGTCAGTTTTTCATGAAAACCCTAGAGGAATCATTTGATACTGAGCGAATCTTAGAACGAACAGGACACACTGGGCAACTCTTGTACGCGACAGGGAAAATGGAATGTTAGTTGGTGATCGCCCGAGTGAGTCGACGATCAACGGAGCGGCAGGTAATACAGGTGATTAGTCCAATGTGAATGCCATCTTTTATTTGGAGAGACGTAGACGTTTCCACATTTCATTGGTTGCTTTGGAAAACTGAAGCAGCGAATGGCTTATCTTTAAGAGTAGTCGGGCCTCCGAAACAATTGTAATTCGGCTATTATTTTGCTGTTTTAACAAGGTGTTTGATTGGAGTCTTAACAGCCGCATCAGGTTGCTCCGCCATCGTCGTCACAGGTAAACGTCGACACTTATGGCGCTGATGCAGCTTTCCACTTTGTAATCGGGTTTATTCCATAGTGGTGACGACTATTACCTGGTATATGACATTTTCTTGTCCACCAGATTTCGAGATTTCTCCCTCATAGTTTCGCTTTTCGATTTCTTAACTATACCGAGCTTCTACTTTAGACGAGTTCGGCTTCGTTGTCTTGTTGTTCTGGAACGTCCAATCATTCTGTTCGGACACCCTTTTTAACTTGTGGAGTTGAAATTTCGCGAATGTTGAAAGCACTGACTTTGTTTTCATTAAGGCATTAATAAGCAAATTATTTTGCTCTTATAAAGTGTCCTTATTGAAGCTGTCAACACGTACTTTGATTTTCAATGGTCAACGTCTCAGCGAATTCACTTTCTACAGAGCCTGGACGTACTAGGAAGTGCTTAGAAAAGGTTATTCTAAAGAGTTCTGTGGCAGTAACTGAAGTTTCACCGAACAGTCCATGTCATCAGTTCGTTCGAAAACGGTTGTACGACCATCTCGTACAAATAGTATTGCAAAGTTATAACCCAACTGCACAGATGGGGGTTGCATAAGTTAAGTACAATATAATTGGTCTCAATAAAGATATGCGGTTTAATTGGCGGAACCAATAGACCAGCTTGTGTCCACACGAAAGAACACCTAGAAAGAAAGCTTAAAATCCGAGAAAGTGACCTGCTAGAGCACGAAAACGAAAACATTAACTTTCCAGATACTATCATTATCCTTTGGTAGGAATCAAGAACATAAACGCGAAAAACGCTTGTAGCAAAAAATTCGGAAATTCGAAAATGAATCAAAAGGACGAATGCCTTATTGTAATACATAACTTATCATCTTAAACACAGATCATTTTTTATCTGGAAGAGCTTTACCTATCATTTTGTGTGTGGCAGACGGGTGTTTTCACTCCTTAGAAAACGAAAACTATCATGCCTTTTCCACAGCTTAGGATTTGGGTTGAGCATTAAGTTTCCATTAAAACTGTAGAATATTAGACCAATAAAGCTCGGTAACAAGATGTCTAGACTCTGAATATGGTGAAGTTGTCTAAACATTATCTCAAAGCAAAATACGTGGCAACAGCATGCCAACTTCTCAAGACGATTCATGAGAAAGAGGTAACTTGTTGAGAATGTTCTCCATTTCAGACGTTTATTCAATTCCTTTTCATTGTGCTTGCCTAATGTTCTCCTTGAAGTCCTTAATGTCGATGAGGGTAGAAATTGATGTCGACGCTCAGTCATCTCAGAGATTGTCCATCTGATTAGATTCCGGATTTCTGTAGAGGAGCGTTGTTGCACCGAAATTATTTCTTGGTGCCCTACGATGATGTTGAGTTATAGGAATTTTCAGCTCAAGAAAGGTAGGATGTTCACATCACTACAAGCTTAGGTATGAGATTACTATATAAAACTACTGCAACATAAACAATAAACGAAAGCTTAACAAAATCTGAATAGGTTGCGCAAAATTACACTGAAACTTGTCACTTGAACCTAGTCAGTTATATGATGTTCTAGAGAAAATTTCAAAGCAGTATAATTTGATACCCAAAGAGGATTGTTATTTTCAGCAATCCAACAATACCAGCTTACGAAATCAAACCACACGAGTAGAGCTGGAGCCCGACTATCCAGAAGACTACATTCCTCCCCATCTTCGCTTAAATAAGAACATGTCCAAAAATTATAAAAAACCTATGTTCCAAAATATGTAATGGTCACTATGTCGCTGGAAAAAAAGATCTTCATGTAAATATTGGAGTGACTAGTACAGAGTATACTTGATGCCTATTGTACGTTAAACTTTTCTCTTCAATTACATGTCTCGGTGATACAATGTGTCAAAGCTAACCAGTAATGTTCATCGCTTCATATGCGACGACTTTACATTGACTGTTTCCCATTAAAAGTAAAATTAATCCTGACCTCTGATCTGCCCACTAGCATTTTTTGGTACTTCTGCTGTGAACGTGTGTATGCAATTTCACTTGATGTGCAAGTGGTAACTATTGATCTGCACTTTCCCATTCACAATGTATTTTTTATAACAATTTATTGAAAAGAAGATCTGGGTAACACCTAAAGGAACAATAACGAATCTCAGCAATCAACATTAGATAGAAACTATTCATGATGCAGTGACGATGTTGAGCCCTGAGCAGAGCAATTTTTGTACTCACAATTTTAACTTATTATTTACTGCCCCCTCTTTTTAATGGCAGAGTATATTGCGAAATATAATTTCAATGATGTTGAGATATTTGCAAAACTCCGGACCCCATTTGTCTGCAGTGGGGAACGGACGCGCCATTGTCCTTTCCGAGGACAAACGCGTTCACCACCACACTATGTGGGTCGTTCGTTTCGCCTGTCTCTCAGCTAGTTCTATCGATCCTTTCCCATCAGCAATCACCCGCCAGCGGAATTGATCTGGGAAGCCCAAATCGGCAGCGAACCCAGTTAAGCTGAGGCTGTACTTTGTACTGTTAACACTAAATTAATATGACTACGATGAGTCCACATAATAAATAATAAAGCTCCCAGTGTTGATCAACCCCTGAGTGATGCGCCATGCATTCGACTTCATTAAGCATTGTTTGGAGGTGACTGAATGCATATCTGGCCTTTAAAATGACTCGCGGTGGCCCACCGATGTATCGGGACAGTGGTGCTATTCTCCCAGACAAGTATGGTACCAATTTGCCGTTCCCGGAGGGATGAAGGGCTTGGTGGGCCATGGGCTCGGAGATCGATTCCACGAGTGTGTTCCACGGCGCCTCCGACCACTACGCCACACACGCCCATGATTCCACAAAGAAATATTGTTAATGGATTGGTTCTCATATCTGCAGGCAATGTAAGGACACGTATCTTCCCAGCGTTCTAATCGTTTCGTCCAAAAAGCTGATCGTTATCTGTAGCATTCTAGGACTAAACATGATTAAAACCATAAACGATCTAAACACAAGGAGTTTAGTAGCTCCCATTTATCAAAGTGGTAGGAAGATAACTGCCACTAAAGAACAGTCGCAATCAGGTTCTTAATACTTTACCTGCGCAACGTCCAAACGCAGTTGTTGTTGCTCGCACATATCAACATAACAACCGTCATTTAGAATGATTTCTTCGAGAATGTATCCAATACATTGTCACTTCCTATTATCTTATCTGTAACTCCCACGTCCGACTTTCTATTAACCTCGGCATTGATTGAACAATTCTTTCTACTTCTGTTCAGCAAACACGAGGTGTTATTTTATTTCTTTATTTACGTACAAGCTGACGTTTCGGCGGATTTCGCCTTCCTCAGAGCCTGGAAAGGTCAAGTTGACATCAACCTATTCGGCCAAACACCTCCATAACCAAACAGGGAAAACGCTAAACCAAGATTTCATTCACATTTAGCATAGCTCTGCACACTCACCGCTTTCTATGAGTCTTCCACCGAATATGTCGCGTGAAGAGCAACCACACAGAATTCACATGGAAGCGTAATGTGCCCCTCCCATCAGAATAACAAGTTTAAATACTGTCCAATATCACGCATGATAATGAGGCATTCTTCCCTGCGGTTCATTTTCGGATTACTTCCACGATTTGTTTCTTCCGATTCCACTTCCGGATTCCCATACTTCCGCGACATACTCAGTGGAAGACTCATAGAAAGCGGTGAGCGTGCAGAGCTGTGTTAAATGTGATTGAAATCTTGGTTTAGCGTTTTTCTGTTTGGTTATGGAGGTGTTTGGTAGAATGGATTGCTGTCAACTTGACCTTTCCAGGCTCTGAGGAAGGTAAATCCGCCGAAACGTCAGCTTGTGCGTAAATAAAGAAATAAAATAGCACCTCGTGTTTGCTGAACAGAAGTAGAAAGAATTATCTGTGTTCAGTCATTCTTGTCCTACTGACTACATCACGAATGCAATGAATTGCTACCTCAAATGTCTGTGTGGGGAATATAATAAACACACAGAAACAACCACGGGTTGTACGAAAAGTCTCTAGTTCCTTATGTACTAAACGTATGGAATGTTCCACCGAGGTCGTCACTATTATACGGTCCTTTGTCTACCAGATAGAGTCACGTGACTTAAAAAAAGTGGATTGCAGTCGAGTGAAATAATTCAGAACCTGTCGACAACAGTGGTACCCTACAGCGATGCTAGTCGATATCGACTTTATTTCGAAAAACTTCTCGTCTATTGCGTAGCGGTAGAAGCAGGAAATATGGATACTTCAAAAGGAATGGTGATTGGTGCCGAATATTCGGCACATGGATCTCAAATACCGCACGAAAATAACTACCTAAAATTTTATCATGAAACAAATGATAAATAGAGGTATATGCAAGACTACTGTTTTCTAGAAGAAAATAAATAGAACTGATAGGAAAAACAAATATCACAATGAGATGATATGAGATTAGTTCTAACAGGAACACAATAAATGCAGCGAGAAAAAAAAGGCACAAACTACAATAGCGCACCCACGATCCAGTGATATACATGAAGTACGGCAAGAGTTTCTGTGAGAACAAGGATTAAGTTTGCTGAACAACCCGAAATACTTCCTACTATGGCGAAGATTAATCGACGAAGTGATGAAGCACACAAAAGTGAATCCGAAATACAATACGTATGGAATCTCCATCAAATTTATTGGGTAAACAATAAAAAAGGCAGTGATGGTATACGAGTGACACTTCATCTTTCACTCGTTCGCTATCTAATGCATCTAAAATCTACGCCTTCAAAACAACTATGTACACTCGATATTTAAAAAAATCTAATAGAAAGCAACAATGAATAATAGTTTTACCGAGAAAATACCATACTAACACATAAGATCGAATAATCTCAATCAATACCAAACTGCCGTACACCGAGTAGTTATCACAGATCGACTGTACAACCCAACGGTCCTAAATCAACACTAAAATTTGGGAGCGACTACGCTAACTGATGAATTAATGATGATCAGTGCGAGTCTTATACAGTTTCTTATGCAAAAAAACCCTACAAACTCCCTAATACGAGTACTATTGCAATGCAGTGCATTTGCAAAGCTTTCGCTAACACACGCCTAACATCAAAATAAAGTGTACTATACCAATTAATCCAACTAGCGGGATCCCATAGATTAGTTACACGTATTGCTTAGCAGTAATTCCGCAGCCGCATTGAGATTCCAAGCTCTAGCGCTAAGAGCTTCCCTAGCTTTTTCGTTATTAGGTGCAATTTGGATGTCGACAAGGCGCTCAATCTTTAACTCTTCCAAAGCGCGTGCGACATCGCCTTTACACTTTATCAGCATTTGATTGCAACGTGAACGACTGAAAAAAAGAAATGATGATCACGACAACAGAACTTGTGCCATTCTAAAACAAATGAACAATGACAAACAAAACCTTGTGAAAGACGCATCCGCATAAAAGATCTTCATTTCTTCCGCACGTGTTATAGGACTTTCACTAGTTGATGAAGGTGTTTGTCTGGCTTGTCTTCTAAGAGAATAAGCCTGAAATTGTTTCATAGTTTAATATGCCGGATAACGCTGGATATATCAATAGGAAGTAAACGATAAAATAATTGTCCTAATACACATACGGAGAGAGGATCGAGCGCTTCGAGTAGATCTACTCCTTCCTCGACTTGAAAAGGAACCAATGGTTCTAATTTAGGCAGGAGTGCCCCATTTTCGTACGGCTCATTATTTGAAAATGATGTAGTGCCAGCTCCTACAAGTCAACATGATTTACCTTAATTAAAAACAGAAATATTTTGGAAGAAAACCCGAAGTGAAATTGTTTGCTACTCAGAATCCAAACCTCTATGAAAAGAAAAAAACAAAATGTGGAACCCAGAAAACCAAAAATTCATCGAAGAATACGAAAACTTGTATGTTACCAACAAAAAACTATTGGATCTCATAGTTTTTCCCACTTGATAAAGTTCGCTCAAACTTATTAAGGAAACTTCCTAACAGTTTACCGCTTCATTGTGGCTGGGAGGTGTTTTTGGGTGTCGGGCTGCGATATACAGCGGAGTATTCATTCCCCTGGCTGCGTCTCCCAAGTTTAGGAGTCCGGAGTTTCCCTCAGGAAGCTTAGCAACGAGTAAAGCAATACAGGATCCACCACCGTCCTGGTATTAAAATTGCATAGTGACGAACCTCCCTCTGATGCACAAGGGTTGCGACTGCCTGTCGTGGTGACGACCTGGGGCAGACTTTGGCCAGGCTGTCCTCAGGATTCCAGGGACCAAAATGGCTTAACCAGCAAATCTCCGAAAAATGGAGATTATGCTGTAGCCCGCACAAACAGTGAGGACTGGCCATTCAAGTATCAAGTATTAAGAAAGACTATTTTCGAGTCATTTTTATCGCGAATACGTTAAAAAACTTAACATATAGGGATTCATAAGCTCTTCACCACCTTGTAGCAGTTGGAAAGCATCAAACCTATCTCTGATTCAAAAGAGATGGCAAACTCTTTGTGACCTGGGAATGTCCATACCAGCGCAATCTCAGGACCCGAAGAAAAAAGTCTAAGCGAGAAACACAGCATCTGAATGCAAAAAATGCTGTACCACGCACGACCCTTCGTGAAAATAGGCCACTCAGGTGATCAATTAACTAGCTGAATACTTATCGAATGTTCATGTCCAAAAAAAAGCTATAAAACTTTTTGACTTTAACTGCAATACAAATGGCAAGACATCTGCAACACAAATAGCAAGATAAACCATAGTTATTAAAAGAATTTGGCAACACGCTGACGAAACAGCTTCCAGTCATACCAGTTGTCGTGATGGGATTGTTTGAAAGACTGAATAGCGGTATCTGTCTCTGATTTTCTGCTTGAGACCTTATCGAATTGTGATTTCTCGACAAGCTTCGTGACAAATCCTAAAAGACGGATATTTTAAACAGAACGGTAAATTTAGAAAAAAAACGCTGCAAGCAAATCGATACATCTGTGACTTCAGTAAAACCATTCCAACATATCAACGCTCTGGTCTTTTATTAAAAGCTAATTGAACAGAAAAATAGACGACACCTTCGGAAATTGCTGAGTTGATGGCGGCACTGCTGCTGGAGATGGTTGTGGTGATGAAGATATAATGGGCAATCGAATGGGCTCAAGAACACTGTTGAAAGGAAGTACCGGTGGCTGGAAAATCATAGTAGATTAGTGTTTCCAACGTCATATCTGATGTTTCAACGAGAAAAAAGAACAGTTTGGAACAACCTTCAAATACCACAACCTCACAAAATCAACAACATCAAACACAAACAAACAACAAACAATAGAAACAAACCGAAGTTTCCGAAGAGTCTTCATTTTTTCGGTCAAGGATTGATGGCGAGGAATCAACCAAACTCCCAACCTTGCCAAAAAATAGATCACTGGGAGGTGGTAAAACCTTTGAAATCTCGCTCTCCACTCGTGAACGGCGAGTTTCATCCAACAAAGACTTGGATGTCGCAGCTCGATTTCTCCCTTCTGAGGAGGATTTTGAAACATTGGCTTCCGTGGTAGAGGTAACCGTTGGCATTTTTGACGTTACTTGCTAAAACAGAAAGTTGAAAAGTGGCTCAAGAAATAGACAGAAAATACGACATACCTTGTCCTGAGGAGTCTCAGACAGTTTTGAATCTTGTAATTGGGTAACAGCGTCAGGTTTCTGCACGAAGTTTGGTTCGCTCGCTTTTTTCACACCAAACCAAGTGGGCTGGTTTTCTTTCCGATTAAATCTTGTTCTTGGACGAAACTCTTCATCTGATCTGCCTTGATAGTTTGGCACTGGTTGCTGATGGGTTTGATAACGATTAAGCCCAGCACCTAATGATGCTGGATTCTCATTTAAAGTGGTTAAACTTGACGTATCGTGAATTCCAGCAAGTGGACCCTAAACTTTATACGTCAAATACAAATCATGGCCATTATGTTGTTAACGCTCTCTAGAGGGGTAGATTTTCTAGTGTTCGATGGAAATGGAGGTAAAGCAGTTACCTAGACGATATAAAAATAGGAAACACTTTTCTATTCAAAAATTGCCACTTCTAACATGTTCGCGATTATGTCTTTTTTAACAACTGCAAATAATGTCCTGACAACACTGTAGTTAACGACACAGTACGTTGGGAAACAAATTGCTGGTTCGACTCCCTCACCAACGCTCTCCTCTAATCCACAGGAGGACGCCCTAGCCCGGCTACACCGAAGATTTCAAAGAAAATCGACAACACCAGCATCCAACACTCATAAAGAAGACAAAATCCCCAAGCAGTATCCGAAACAACGCATGAAATGTTTGAAAACCTTTTCAGACGATGACTGAGAGTAAAGCGAATCGAGGCAAGAAGTACTAGGATCCGCACAGCAGATGTGAATATGGAACCCGTAAAAAGACTACATGTGTTCCATGTTATTTGCACAGTGCTGTATGAAGGCATATTCATACCAGTAGAATGAGTGGTCATACTCAACTCATGTTGTGTCGCCGCTAGCTGAAAAGTGCTTGTGATCTCTGTATGTCAACATCTGCACAACCGTAAATACAGTTGTAAGGAACAGTCACGCTTACTGAAGACAAATCTGCCTCCAGTTGGTGTCCTATCGATATTCTAAGGTCATCATCATGTTTCACCACGTTCTTGTGTACCACAGACTGGATTATTCTTAACCGCATTAACGCATAGTATTGTATCACTGATGTATTGGAAGCACTCGTAAGCCGTCAAACATCCACTGTATACTGTCACTATTGTCGCTTTTATGTTGTTGTAACATTAATATAAAGGACTAGTTATACAAATTATGGGGCGGATAGCACAATGGCAGTGATACCCGTTATCATGAGCATTGTGTTAGTTCGATTCCTCTCCAGGCCAACCAAGCCTCTCACCCATCCAGAGTCGGGAAATTGGTACTGGACTTGTCTGGGAAAAAAACACTCTCTGCAGTTCAACTTAGAACGCTCCAGGCCGGCTATCTCAGGACTCCAGGGAGAACCGCTCGACTAGCATTACACGACATCCTAGATAAAATGAAAATTCTCAAGCAGCAACCGGCGCCACACGTAAAAACCTGGAAGACCTTCGTGGACGATGTATGCGTGGAAATTGATGTGAGAACTGTTGGGAGGGAGCCGCATAGCAGACGTGAAGAGGAATTAAATAAAATAAAATAAATAAAAAGTTACATTAACTTAGGTCCACTTTGCGTCATTTACGAAAGTCCTGCATAACAATTTCTAGAAAACAGAGCACCTTATATTGAACTTGCTAATAAATTTGCATTTGCATCGGCCTATTTGTCAGTACTAACACCTCTTCAATCAACGAAACGACCATGAACAAAATAGTGCCACGAAACCAAAGAAATTTTACAAAAGCCAAAGCGTATTTATCCAGGATGGAAAAAAGGAAACCATCAACTTTTACCAAGAACGCTTGAGGGCGTGTAGCTCAACTAACGTTAGAAAAGCTGGATACGTTGAGCTCCATCCATTACGTTCATTGGAACTTTGGCTAACAAAGTTTATTCAGCACTTTGGCAAATATTAACTGAAAAAATATTCAGCAATTAAATCGCTGTCAAAATGTCTTAGATGAATCCGCCGTTCCCATAGAATCAAAAATTTATGTCACTAGAATAAACAAACTTGCCTTTTACTAGCAAGAATATTAAGATTTTAATGGATCTTACTTTCACAAATGCTGTGTTTGAACGTAACTGTGATACTTTGGAATTCACGGTAAGAAAAGCAGATACTTTTGCAAAGGGCTATTAATTAAACACAAGCAGTAATCATCAAAATCTGTTATGGTGGAATACTGAATCAAAATAAATAAGAAGGAAAAACCAATACCTTGCTTTCATCCGCTTTCTTCTCCAGTATTTCGTTATACCTCTCACTGTGTACTGCTTTTTTCACAGAATCTGATATCTACAAAAGTCTTTTCTAAATGTGTACATACAGTAGTTCAGGACACCAAACATAACCCATGTACAAATACTGAAGCATTAGAATTACAAGAACATTTCGGAATTTAAAGAGCAGTTCAAAAATTTTCAAAACCCTCACAAATCACCAAATGCCATCGTAAAAATCTGTGGTCGAACTAACCTCAAAAGGATCGTTTTCGGTAACCGGTGGCTCTGCTTGCGAAGAAAGGACTTGTGGTTCTTGATGTGGTGGAGGTCCGACTTCAGCTTAACAGAGAAACATTAAATGCCACACACTTCTTGTAGAATACAACGTCTACAGTAGAAAATTCATCCTTAACGACATTACAGTTCATTCAAAACAATTTAAAAAAGCAACCTGATATTTGGTGATCCGCAGCTACCTCAGGAGATAATTCCTTCGTCACATTTGTGATAGAATTAGTATTCTGGCTTGCCTAAATATATGTATAAAACACAAATACCATCGTATTCTGTCTACGTGGGGTAGGGTGAAAAGTGTGCAATGGTTTTCGGCAAAAAATTTTCTTTCATACTTCATGTATCCAACGATAGCTCATCCAACAAAGACATCCTACTAGATTCAATTGCACACTCAGATTTGATACGTAGGGAATACCTCACTAAGATAAGATGGGAAATAATTCAATACATTTGTTTATATGTCTTTGTGATTTGTTAAAGAACTGTTCATGCACAGAGCGCACGCTTACCAAAATGCGCTTCTCACTCTTGGAAAGTTCACAAGTTCTTAACTTTTGTTCTCTTAATATTGATGTTGTTAAAACTAGACATAAACACATTCAGTTCAGCAGTCCTTGAAACCTAACAATTTGCCATTTAAATGCACATCTTACACTAGTACCTTTTACAGTGTACACCCATTAAAT